ACAGTGGACTCTAATAATGAGGTGACTGGGAAAAATAGAAAATAATTTCCTTGAAATTCTTTCCAACGTTACAATATAAATGAATGTTCGTCAATGGCCCACAAATGAATAATATACACCCAACAACGTCCCAAAATAAGATCTTATAATATCTTAATGAAAATTAAAAAATTATTTTAGCCTAATTATGTTCAGTAATGGGTCATATGCAATACAGGTGAACAATTCGACTGGAAAAATTGAAAATAAATACAATGTATCTAAATACGAATTAATAATATATCAATTCACCTTGAATAAATCAACAATGTTTTGTGGCAATTTTTAACATCAACTTGATATTTTTCTTGTTAAAAACGTTGAATAATTTTAACACGTTTTATGTTATGGATAAAAAACAGAGAATTTTATATCGCGTTTTTTTTCGAGACTTAGCAAAATAAAAAGACCCTAGAATGATATTAAGATCGGCCAATAGTTTTCATCCTTTGTCAGTTGTGCTTAGTTTCAATTGTAACTTACATAAACGTAGATAGAAAAAAAGCCAAATATTGATAAGACAGCGAAGGTTAAAAAACATTGCCCGGCGGCCCCAATCAGGCTTAATATTAAGAGTGGGGGGGTTGTGGATAGTATGCACCGACCCTGGGGAAATTTGATAAACATACTTGCAGTATAAACTACAGTTTAACTCTGTAGGTGCTGAATACAGAAAAATGAGCTCGAGAAGATGGTCATGCTCGGAAGCAAGCAACGATACTGAAGATGAGAAATGTGTTTTCAAGTCGAAGCAGCTTTGATAATGGTGGTAAATAATGGTGTGCCTGGGAAAAATAGAAAATAATTTTCATGAATTCTTGCCAACGTTACAATATAAATGAAAGTTCGTCAATGGCTCACAAATGAATAACATATACCCCAAAACGTTCCAAAATAATTCCTCAAAATGAAACTAAAAATCGCTCTATACTTACATTGTTTGGACTCTTGTCCTCATCTTTAGTGTCATAGTCACGACGTTTCGCCCGTTCTATGCGACGACCTTCTTCATATATACATGTTGGAATTTCGAATCGAACAATTTATTTAGTCCACGGGATAGATTGTTCTAGTTCCACGTGCCATGCCTTTTCTGGATATCTTAATTTTTAGTTATTTTATAACTCTCCAAGTTTTGTTCACCTCTGCTGTGGCCAGGTATCTTTGGGTGAAGTCACTTCTGGATTACTTCAACCAACGCTTTTATCCACTGGGTCATGTGTTTACCCTAAGAAGGCCGGAGCGTACAACGGTCGATATATCATGAATATGACAATAAAGATGAAGACAACAGTCCGAACAATGTAAATAGAAGCTAAAAATATATCGCTCATTTTTGAATGCCGCCATATTTTTAACGTTTGTAGTTGAAATGAATCGAACATATAAGATATTTCGTCAAAAGAAAGTTTGCAATACAAGGGTGTTCCACCGCAGTATATTGCAAAATACAATTTCCCAGCAAATTTATTTGTTGTGTAGGGTTAATGGGATTAATAAAAAATTAATGAGCGTAGGTGAATGGAAAAATCCGAAAATTAACAAGCGTTGCTGGGGAACGTTCATTTTGCCCCTGAAAAACTGTGAGATATGTCAAGATGCAAGAATAGCTGAGATCGAATCTTTTTCCAAAAGAAAGTAGACCATAGATAAGAGAATAAGTGAGAAAAGGAAAAAGAAAGAGGGTTGCAGAGAATGAGAAAGGGCGAGGTACACCGAGAAACGACAGAAGAGAATGTGCAGAGGAGAAAGAAGAGGGGGGTTACAGAGTAGAAAGAATAGGCGTTGCATAGAGAGAGAGAGAAGTCTTATTTAGAAGGAGAAAGTAGTAGGCTTGAGGAGAAAGAGAAAGAAGAGGGATTGCAGATACGAAGAAAGATGCGGTCTTATATCGAAGGAAGAAGAGGGCCTACAGAGAAGGAGAAAAAAGAGGTCTTACAAAGAAGGACGAAGGTGGGGGGGGTGGACTTGCAGAGAAGAAAGAAGAGGTCTTACGAAGATGAAAGAAGCGGGGCCTGCAGAGAAATAGAAAAAAGAAGGTCTTACAAAGACGGAAGAAGGGGGATTGCGAAGAAGAAGAGGAAAAAAAAGGGGGCTTGCAGAAAAGGAGAAAGAAGAGGTCCTACAAAAAAGAACTGGACTTGCAAAGGAAGGAGAAAGGAGGGGGCTTGTAGAGAATGAGAAAGGAGGGGTTTATAGACAAGGAGGAAGGAGGGGGCTTATAGAGAAAGAGAAAGGAGGGGCTTATAGAGAAAAAGAAAGGAGGGGGCTTTAGAGAACGAGAATGGAGGGGCTTGTAGAGAATGGGAAAGGAGGGTTTTATAGACAAGGAGGAAGGAGGGGCTTATAGAGAAAGAGAAAGGAGGGGGCTTATAAAGAAAAAAGAAAGGAGAGGGCTTCTAGAGAACGAGAATGTAGGGGGCTTGTAGAGAATGAGAAAGGAGGGGGTTTATAGACAAGGAGGAAGGAGGGGGCTTATAGAGAAAGAGAAAGGAGGTGGCTTATAGAGAAAAAGAAAGGAGGGGGCTTCTAGAGAACGAGAATGGAGGGGGCTTGTAGAGAATGAGAAAGGAGGGGTTTATAGACAAGGAGGAAGGAGGGGGCTTATAGAGAAAGAGAAAGGAGGGGGCTTATAGAGAAAAAGAAAGGAGGCGGCTTCTAGAGAACGAGAATGGAGGGGCTTGTAGAGAATGAGAAAGGAGGGGATTTATAGACAAGGAGGAAGGAGGGGGCTTATAGAGAAAGAGAAAGGAGGGGGCTTATAGATAAAGAGAAAGGAGGGGCTTATAGAGAACGAGAATGGAGGGGCTTATAGAGAAGAAACAAGAAATACATTTACTTAGTCGTACTATAGAGAACTAAATAACAGGTGAGGGTCGTAATAATTAGGGGAGTAGATAAGAAAAGGCGGGTCTTGGTAAAAATTATAAAATCTAATATACTGGTGGTGGGGATTTATTACTTTCCATCGTGAATCCTCTTTACTACAGACGCACTGTTGCAAACCAATCGCTACTATATCGCTCGAAAATCTAATAAACAGGTGAGGTATTCAAACGGCTGGTTAAGAAATTATTACAAACAACTCTTTCATGTTAGAATATGACCTCGAAGAAATTAAACTAAAAATAAATGCTATTCAATGTCTTAGAAATTCGAAAACATTTCGTCGAAGTCTTGCCAATATAAATGTAAACTCGACAATAGCTAGTCAGTCAGTTATGCCCCATGCATGATACACACTTAGGCAATCATGCATCTATCGATACATGACTGACGAGGCAGATTTTTCTCGCAGTAGGTTGTCATTTCTTTCTGCGGTAGACCAGTTGCCATTCAAGGCTATAGAACTTGGTTTGTCCTGCTATTTACCCATAGTTAGTGTGAGAAGAAGAGGGTTAATACCCTTCCCGAGGTTCAGCAAGTTATGTGCCATGCGTGATACATGACTGACGAGGCAGATTTTTTCCCGCAGTAGATTGCCATTTCTTTCTGCGGTAGGCCAGTTGCCATTCAAGACTATAGAAACCAGTCTGTCCTGCTATTTACCCATAGCTGGGGGGAGAAGAAGAAGATTCATACCTTTCCCAAGGGTATAAGCACGTTAGAAAAAATATTGATTAGAGCTACAAAAGACTGGAAGTTGTGGAGAACCATGATGTCCCACGTCTTGAAGAGGTACAAGACATTAAAGGAGAGAAACCCTTTATATTTCAAATCCATTTTATTTGGGTCACTTTGAAACGTGTTGGAAGGCTATAAAGAAAGGGAAATCCTACATTACGAGTACGCCGTCACTATCACGACCCACTGCGCCAAATGGATTCTTCGATCGGCTGGATTGGCGGGAAATAATGCATTTATTTATAACATGCTTATAAGAAGATATAATATGGCTATTGGCGCTGCATTTACATTTTTTGAAGATTGTAGTTAAAGGGGAAAAAAGTAAACGGAAAGGAGTTCCACACGTAGGAAGTGCGAGAAAAGAAAGTGGCGGTTACATTTAACTATTTCAACAGTAAAAAGGTGGGACCTAGATGACAATTTAGTAGTACGGTTAAAGTCATTTATTCGGTGCAACCAGGGAAAAAAAAACTCATCGAAGATGATGCCATCAAAATATTTGTAGAAAAGACAGAGGGAAGTCACGTATCTACTTTGTAACTGCTCAATCTGCACCCCCAACGTTAATACAGGGATGGCTTATTTTCCATTCTGCAGCCTCTTTCCTCAAAGACGCATAGCTGCACGCCTATCTTTACTCTATCGTTATTTCTATGACAAATGTTCGGACGAAGTCAACTATTTAGTTCCAACAGTTCAGTCTTTTACAGCTAGGACGCGCCACGCTACGTCCACAAAACCGAATCAGCTGCATTTCCACGGTATTCCAGTCGTAAGGAGGAAGATCCACTCGGACAGATTTTTCCCGAGAACTGCTAACTTGTGAACACACTCTTTCGATGATACTTCTTTGAACACTAAAACCTTAGTCTGTTCAAGTCAAATCAGTCTCTGTCCTCATGAACTTCCTTTTCTTCAGCCTTGGATAGCATTCATATCAACCATCTTATTCAGGAAACGTCTACTTTGAGTAACTGTGAAGCCTAATGATAAGTTTTTTTTTGTTTTTTTTTAAGAAAGAAGAAAACTGTTTTGTTCATTAAACGAGATCTGATAAGATTTCGCATACTCTCGCTATCGCCGTGAGTTCTGTTTTCACTGCGTTTCCGCCAAATGTCATCTTGTGGCAAGACTAAGCTAAGTCCGATAAATAGTGCTCGTCTTCTTTCATGTATGGTTTTCGCTCTCGGCTAAACTTAGCAGAGTGAAACCGACAATAGCAGTAGTTGTGCATAGGTTTCTGATCGTTGACGCAAATCCTTACACACCCACAAAAAAAAAAAAGAAAAAAAGTCCCTTAACATTTTGACCAAGATCTCAAACATGTGTCCTTCTGATGGTATCTTGTTTTGTTTTCGTTCGATATCATCTGTTACGACATAACGAATGCTGATTACGCACTAGCATGACTGCGACGGTAATTTCCGCGCATGCGTGATTTGTCTCTAACTGCTTACCGGGGCTGGGGGGCGGTGTCAGAAGTTTGGCTTTTTTTCCTTTCCTTTCTTTTATACAGTTTCCTGTTCATTTAATTTTATTGATAAATTTCCCCTTTCAAAGATTGTTTTTCTTTTATTCACACAAGTTCTCACTCTTCTTTGATTTCTTCTTCTTCCTTCCTTCCTTCCTTCCTTCCTTCCTTCCTTCCTTCCTTCCTTCCTTCCTCTCCTTCCTTCCTCTCTTCTTTGCTCTCTTCCTTCCTTCCTTCCTTCCTTCCTTCTGCCTTCCCTTCCTTCCTTCCTTCCTGTCTTCCTCTCCTCTTTCCTCTCTTCCTTCCTTCCTTCCTTCTTTCCTTCCTCTCTTCCTTCCTTCCTTCCTTTTTTCTCTGCCTTCCTTCCTTCCTTCCTTCCTTCCTTCCTTCCTTCCTTCCTTCTTCCTTCCTTCCTTCCTTCCTGTCTTCCCTCCTTCCTTCCTCTTTTCTTTCCTCTCTTCCTTCCGTCCTTCCTTCCTTCCTTCCTTCCTTCCTTCCTTCCTTCCTTCCTCCTTCCTTCCTTCCTTCCTGTCTGCCTTCCTTCCTTCCTTCCTTCCTTCCTTCCTTCCTTCCTTCCTTCCTTCCTGTCTCCTTCCTTCCTTCCTCTTCTTCTTTCCTCTTCCTTCCTTCCTTCTTTCCTTCCTCTCTTCCTTCCTTCCTTCCTTCCTTCCTTCCTCTCTGCTTTCTTTCCTTCCTTCCTGTCTTCCTCTCCTTCCTTCCTCTCTTCTTTCCTCTCTTCCTCTCTTCCTTCCTTCCTTCCTCTCTTCCTTCCTGTCTGCCTTCCTTCCTTCCTTCCTGACTGCCTTCCTTCCTTCCTTCCTTCCTTCCTTCCTTCCTTCCTTCCTTCCTGTCTTCCTCTCCTTCCTTCCTCTCTTCTTTCCTCTCGTCCTTCCTTCCTTCCTTTTTTCCTTCCTTCCTTCCTTCCTTCCTTCCTTCCTTCCTTCCTTCCTTCCTCTTTTCCTTCCTTCCTCTTCCTTCCTTCCTTCCTTCCTTCCTGTTAGGTTTGGATTTATTCATTACTTCTTTGGTTAATTTACAGATTTTGACCCGCGCGCAGTTTGCATTAAAAATGTCCCGAATATTTACATATAGGTGTAAATGTACATGCTTCATTCGAAAATGAATTGATAAAATCTACCGTTTCGAAGTTATCGACAGTAAAAGTTAGGATTTATTCGCGTCGTTGGCAGCAGCCATTACTGGCGTTGTTTGCATACATTTGTTGCGGAAAGCTAAGCGCGGAAGAGCGTAGTTAACGGTCTTTTTCAACTGATCTTACTCGTCTCAACTTGTCTCACTTACTGCGCAAGAGAACTATATTGCGTAATAATAATCAAGACAAGTGAATGTTCCACTCATAGCTTTTCCGCAGCAAATGTATGCAAACAACACCACTAATGGCTGCCGCGACGCGAATGAATCCGAAGTTTTACTATCAATAACTCCAAAACGGTAGATTTTATCAAATTCATCAAGTCATTTTCGAATGAAGCATTTACACCTCAATGTAAGTATTCGGAAATTTTTTTTATTGCAAACTGAGCGCGGGTCTTGATCTCCAAATTAACCACTTCTTTTACGGCATAGTTCAATTATTCACTCTTTTTAATCATCAACTTTTCTATATTTTGAAATTCATTAGTATTTCATCATTTATATATTGTTCTTGTGTTTCATAATTTTTTTTTTCTTTCTTTCATTTTGGATTCTCCGTTTATACTTCATTTTCATTCCTGCTTTCATCCCTTCTTCCTTCTTTCTTTATTTCTTTTGCTCTTTGATTTTTTCCTGTCATTCATTTTGTTTTTCTTTTCATTCTTATTCTTCATTTCCTTTCTTTTTTTCATTTTTTCTCTCTTTTTCTTCTTTAGCATATATTTCTCTTCTTTATTACTTGATCTTTCTTTCTTTCTTTCTTTCTTTCTTCTATATTTCTCTTTTTTCTTTCTTGTTTGGTTCTCTTCAATTAGTCATTCCTTTACAATGTTTCTTTTTTTTTCTTTCTTCGTTTCTTTATCATTTATGATTTTGGCTTTTTCATTTTTCATTTCCTTCGTTTCCTTCCTTCTTTCTTTTATAGATTCTCTGCTTTCTTTCAGTTCGTTTCTTTTCTTTTCATTGTTAGAATGGTCGTATTATTCTTTTTCTCTTTCTTTCTTTCTTTCTTTCTTTCTTATTTTTCTAATTTGAATTTTACCATTCATTTTCTTTCTTTCTTTCTTTTATATTTCTCTTTTTCTAATTTGAATTTTTCTCTTCATTTTCTTTCTTTCTTTTATATTTTTGTTGCTTTCTTTTTTTTCGTCTCATTCATGTTTCTTTTCATTATTTTTTTTCCATGCTTTCTTTCTTCCATGTCTTTCTTTCTTATTTTGATTCTCGCTTTTATAATTCGTATTCGTTCTTTCTTTGATGCTTTCTTTCTCGATTCATACTTTTCCTTAGCAATTCTTTGATTAACGTCAAATCTTGAAACTATCAGAAACAGATGGCGCGACACCTTAGCCAAAGGCGATAACGTTCGCGCTATCATAAGCCTTACTGCAAATGCTGCGGCTGTATTCCCAGAGGCAGAACAACATAAGCTGTTTCTCTTACAAAACAAACAAATGATAGGGCAAGTAATGCATCTGAAAAGGTACATAAATTGAAATAGATCTTTCCAGTATTGTTATCAGTGTCTGGTTTCAGCGCTCGAAATTCTCTCACGTATTGTCTTTCATTTGTTTGATGAGTTCCTGATGGCTGACGTACAAAAAAAAAAATGTCTCAAACCAGTCATACAACTACTGCGCCTTTCCTAACTTCCAGGTCACCCGCTCTTGCTAAGACAACTTGTATTCTTGGATGAAGTAGTTTCATTTCTTCTTTTTTTTGTCAATATTTCTCCCTGCGCATTTACAGAGATGTAAAGACTGTTCCTTTAAGCATTTCATACAATATCCCCAAATAATCTACCATTAAAAAACAACTACTTCCGTTCCCTAGTCCAATATACTGATTATGAGATCGGAAGCTATGCTGATGACAAGTATTTATGGCTAGGATAAGAATAATCTTTATTATATATAAAAAAAAAAATCCCCTACTAAGTATTCCAAGAAATAGGACTCAAGATAAACATTTCCAAACAGAAGGTGTGATCTGGAATTGGAATGAAAGCAGTAATGGCAAATACCCCGGATCCATAATTGGAAACTCAGGATGTACGATTAGTAAAGTTAGTAAATACTAAACACATCGAATACCTAGTTGTATGGATCAGTTATGTATTATAGGAGAAAAGTTAATTTAGCATAGAATAAGCTACGCCCAGAATCGCAGACTGCCATAAAACCAAACAATCAACCTGAAAACTCGAGTTAATTTCGTATATAGCTGTTAAAACCTAGGGAAGTTGACTGAATAGAATAATCGCACGAAGGTTGGTAATGAACGATAACACTTAAGACAAGAACAACGCATATAAGATTCGCCAGCGGCGCGTAGAAGAAGTGAGTAATGTGAATTCCTCAATGAATCTCCAACTGCAAGATATCTACCAACCACCTCACGCAGTCAGATGTGGTACAAGGCCGAACTTAATGTGAGGTATCCGAGCACGTTGGCTCGGCCAAAAAATCTCTGTAGACCCCCTCTAAAACGGGGTCGGGTAGCTGTTTCCCGAGACGAGAATCTACCCTTCGACATAGCCTTGTCAGAGATTTTGACCCACTCAGCTGGAGACGAATCTCCAACTGCAGGATATCTACCAACCGCCCCACGTGGTCAGATGTGGTACAAGACCGAATTTAATGTGGGGGATCCGATCATGTAGCTTCGGCCCAAATTACTCGTAGACCCTGTATAAAACGGGGTCGAATAGCTGTTTCCCGAAACGAGACTCTGCCCTTCGGCATAGCCTCGTCTGGGGATCATCTCTGCCCGGAGGCAAAGAGTTTGACCAACACAGCTGGAGACTAATCTCCAACTGCAAGCCAACATACAATATTTACTACTGTATTCATGTCAATGGAGACAGCCATTATCGTCCGTAGGTATGTTACAAAGATAAGCTCGTTAGATCGAGACTTTCATATGGGTGTCATGTGTGGCGCCAAACCCGGTTAGAAGTATTTTAACTGTTAATTGTATACAACCGCTTTCTAATATCAATGGTTAAAAGTAGTATTGAGCGAATGAAACCTGTGCATCTTGACTATAATTCTTCCAACTATGTGAACTGGTGCTGCATAATCATAGACAAAGAAGTGTACCAAATAAGAGAAACCACATCACTTGAGGACTTTCAACAGTTGCAACAACTAAAATGGATATCACATGTCATCGGAGAGAAAATAATGACATAATAAAGATGTTGACATTCCACACTCCTTGAAATAAAGGGTTTCGAACGGAAACTCATATCAATACTGGAAAGAACGTTAACAGTGACTGGACTTGAGAAACTTATTTTTCTGCAAAAATGGCGTTAAGAGAAGGCTTTTATCAGTTGGAATCGAAAAAAGTACAGCTCTTCGGTCAATGAATACCGAAAGTGTAATGGGACCTTACCCATAATAACATAATGGACTATTCCATACGTAATAAATACTGCACCTCAAGAGGAAGCAGGGAGTTCCATCTGAAGTCTAGAGTTCAGTCTGAAGTCTGGAGTTGAGGTCATCAGGAGTCTGTCAGTCAGTCAGAGCGAGTCAGTCAGTCGAGTCAGAGGCAGTCCGAAACAGAGTCGCGTTCAGACAATTACGACTAAACCTGATTGTTCGTACTAACACTTTCTACCTCTCTGTATATATTCCTGTTTGTAATATATCTGTGTTATTCCATATCCGCCTTCGAGTTCTTCTTTATTGGTTCTACCTTGGACTATCACCGTGGTACAAGGAACCGGACCATAACAGAAAGTTTCACTATAGGGAAACGGCTAATATTACAATTACCATTCTTATTTCTTCATTTTATAATAACTGATCAGTGCCATCGTGGTAATAGGAAGAAGCGGACAAGTCTTAACCCTTACCACGCTGAAGGCGAAAATTATAGCCGTAGAATTCTCTCCCTTGGCTACCCTAGGCGCATTCTGTTGCCTTGAGACGGTTGCTATAAATAAACACTTGTCAACTGTTATTTCCAGTATTTTAAGCTGGAAATCGCCTACTACTGCTTTGGAACAAGGCTAAACTTCCATTTTCCAATGCCATTTTAAATTCTCCTAGGCTCTACGCGATATTTTGTAAACAAAAATGGCCGCGTCATTATCTAACAAAGCCTTTATTCGGGAGTTTTTCTTTACTTAGGACTCCGATGATGGTTTTGAAGGCTTTACTCGAGTGGCTATTGACAGCGAAGTGGCCGAAGTGTAGAAAAATTAAAATCTATATGTACAATACAAAGAAAACTCTTAGTATGTAAGCTAAAAGCAACAAACCAATAACGAATCAAAATGTCTTGAGGTATCCGTCCACATCTCGAGAGATGCTCGGTCAAAAACACGCTAACAACAACACCAAAACAGACAAAGCGAACGCTGTCACAAAGCTTACTCCAACTGCTCGGCCCGGAGGCTAGGATCAAAGTGCCTTTGTGAGCTTCCGAGTCGGCGTCTGTCGAACTCTCTGCGTTAGCAAAGAAGAACCCGGACGAAGCTTTGCCGAAGGGCAAGGTTTCGTCCGGGGAGGTAGACAGGGCCTGAATCCGTCAAGGCGGGTTAAAAAAGGCTATATAATTGGCCGAGCCTACGGGCTCGGGGATACCCACATTAAACCGGCCATGTGCCACATTCTATCCTCGTTGGTGGATTGATAAATACTAAGCTTACTCCACCCGCTTCTGTGTCAATGTATTTCTTTTCTCCGACTCTGATTATGGACAACGGGGTGGGATGAAGGAGGTTTATCCGTAACGTTTGATAAGGGTCACTTGGTTTATTCTAAATCATTAGTGTCTTCTTGTAATTACTCTTGTAAATTAAAGGTTGGCTGCGGTTCAATCGTCAATTGATTATTGTTCATTATCAAAGACGACACCGGTATTAGCAATCATTTTGCTATTTTAGATCTGCCAACGCTTTTAAACATAACGTTCGCTTTTTCTTTTTCTGCTCTTCCCTTCAAATTTGCCGTTTTGATCCGCAATATAGAAATCAATATATGATAATTCGTTAGGGGCACCTCGACGAGGTGTAATGGTTAACAAGCTTGTCTCGCTAGATCAGTTACGACTTAGTGAGGTCGAGGCATCTGGACACCCCACGCTTTCGACCTTGTGCCACATCTAAACTATGTTTAGAAACTCATTTGGGCACATCGACGTGGTGTAATGGTTAACAAGCTTGTCTCGATAGATCAATTTCGATTGAATAGTGAGTTCGATCCCCTCTAGGGGCTCCATACTTTCGAGCTGGTGACACGTCTAAGGAACGCTTAGTAAATCGTTACAATAATCTGTCAGGCAGACCGTATACAGTCGTGTATAAGTCGAATCGTTTAAAACAAATCTTCAAGAAAAACATTTAGAAAAAAAACTACCACTATTTTTTTTTATTATTAAATGTTCATACAATACAAAAACCAAGAGCCACTCAATGTAGAGAAAGCAGCAAGAAGTTCTGATTACATGTAAGGGAGACAATGGTGAATCCTACACTTGAAGAGGTTAAAATTGTAATGATAATTGAAGCACCTTCTCGGGAGTCTGTTCCATAAAATAGTGGTACTCGGAAAGAAGCTAATTGGAACTTCCTTCTTATCAATGAAATACAAAGGCAATAAGAATAATTCGCTTCACTCTACGTGGCCTGGCAGTTCTTAGCCGTGAACGTCTGAACTAGTGGAACTAAATGAATGTAGCGCGTCAGAACATATGCTACGAAATATCTATCTATCTATTAGTAAGTATATATATATATATATATATATATATATATATATATATATATATATGTGTGTGTGTGTGTGTGTGTGTGTGTGTGAAAATATATAGAAAATAGGAAAGAATTGGTTAGGTAAATAATCCAAGGTTCCATAGTATTTTTGTAATTATTTTTTAAAAAATAGTGCTTGATACAAAAGTAGAGCATAAACATAATTATTTATTTAAAAATATGATTCCAACTCGCGACATAAGAGGTCTCATGTTTCAAAACAAGCGCCGAAAACTTCAATATAATTATTTGAATTAAATTGAATTAAAGTAAGCTCTGTTCCATCTTCAAGCGAAATTTTTTTTGGAATAACTTGTTTCTGAAATTTACGTGTTTTAATAGTATATTCATAATTGAAATCAAAATTTCCATGGTAACAGCCAGGGCGAATTGTTTAAAATAGTTAGGTGTGTGTTGGGTGTTAATAATATGTATCAGTATAGAGTTACTTTCATAGATGTCAAGTCAGGGTAAGGTGGGGGTGTCTAAATTTGAAACAGAAGATGTTTTCGCCTAGTCAGGTTTACGTGTCTA